CGTCGTTCCTACTCAAGCAAGAGCGGCTGGTCAGCCTTGAGGCGCCACATGGCGTTATCCTCTCGGCCGCAGCAGCGGCCGATGTCCCCTCGCTACATAACTCCTTGGAGATTCTCTCGGGACTCAGACAGGAGTATGACTCTGACGACACCGGTGGCCTCTCCCCGCCATGCGAGTGCTTCTTCATCAGCGACAGGCTCGCCGCTGACAACGCCCCCGAGCTCATGCCTCCGGATTTGAGATCAACTAGCCGCGTGGCCTTTTCTTATCTTACTATTACTAATTAGAGGCCCCAACGGAGACACCACGTTAATTCTCACCAGACGCACTAGGAAAAAAGATAAATCCTAGAAATTCTCACAATAATCAGAACATCTGGCCTTTGATTTGGTAGACTCTAATCATCTTCTCCAATAATAGCCATTGGATCTCCTGTAGTTTATTAAAAAATTACCCACCACCGCCATTATGAAAAAAACATAAAGGAACCCCTAATTTTCCATGTAAATTACTCACTGCTACCATTACAAAAGATAATTCAAAATAACCCCTAGATTTGTATCTAAATTACCCACCTTGGCCATTATGAAACATAATTTAAAAATAACCCCCTAATATTGCGTCTAAATTACCCAACTTTGTTATTATGAAAGATAATTTAATCCTTTAACTTTGTATCTAAATTACCTACATCTACCATTATGAAAGATAATTTAAAATAACTCCTAATGAATTTATAAATTATCCACCTTTATCATTATGAAAGATGATGCAAAGTAATATTCTAAGTTAGCATTTAACATACATGTATATGTCATTGTGAAAGATAATATAAGGTATTACCTTTATATTTGTATGTGCCTTAGCCATTATAAAAAATAAACAAAAATCTCTTAAATCTACACATAAATAGTAATATATATTATAACGAAGAATAAATCAATATACAAAAAGTATGATACATATATATATTTCTAATTTACAACTTCTATAATCATGAAATAAAATAATTATAATGCTATATTTCATCATGTATATCAAATAAACATGTATGCATTAGGATAAATATTTATTTTAACAACTTATGAAACATGAAAAAATATTCACTTACAAACCACGTAGCAATAACACTTTATATTAGTACTCCATGATAAAAAGTTTTAGAAGTTATTATTTCAAATAAGTTTATATATTTTTACTGAAACATTATGTCATATCAATATTATTAATTTAATCTTATGCATACTATGGTATTTAAGTAATACTACACACACACATAATCCTATGATATAAAAAATTCAACATGTTTAGTGTCGGGATACAAGCCAAGCTTCAACTTATGTGGAAAATATTACCGCTAGGACCTAGACTCTTTTTAATAAAAACATTTTTTGAATAAAGATAAAGAATACTAGAATTTCTAATTGATATGTGAAAAAAAATACAACAACTTGATGAAAAAATAAAAGATAAACAATAGATTTACGAAGTCACAAAAAGGGTATCAAGAGTTTATATATCTTAAGACTAGATTTCAACTAAATACATATCACACTAGAAAAAAAATACTAGAAATTCCAACCGGAGGTCCTCAGTAGAGCTTGCATGTTAATCATCACAAGACTTGATAGAAAATCAAAAGATAGATCGTAGAAATTCTCATAAAAATCAAAAAAAAAATCTTACCATTAATTACATGTAAGCTAATCACCATTGATAATAATAATAGCTATTGGCAGTATTCTATTTTATAAATAATTATCCACTTCTACTATTGTGTAAAACAATATAAACTAACTCATGACCCCAGTTAATATTGCCCACATATGTCCTTAAGAAACATGATCTAAAGTAGACCTAAATTTGCATTTACGTACCAACGTCCTATTATTATGATCGATAATTTACATAACGTAGTTTTCATCTCATTATTAGAAAAATTAAATAGCCCTCAAATCTACATCTAAATTATCAACTTCTTCTATTACAAAAAAATGTTTAGATAATGAATAGAGCATATATATGTTTCTACATTAGCCTGCCTCTATCAATATTAATATAGTAAAATTTGATTAAAGTAAATATATGCGTAGTTCCAACATGCATGAGCAATAAAATATATTTGTTATGTTTCATCACATAACAAATATCTTCTTAACAACACATATACTAATGATACTAAATTATTTAAACCATATAACCATAGCAGTAATTTATATGGATTGTTCCTTTAGATAGTTCATGTAATTTAATTAATATATGGATAATATAACCACAATTGCAAATATAATTTCTTGATAGGAAAATTCAATCATATTGAGAAGTGTGGGAGACCACAGGTGGCCATATTTTCCTGGCCCTTTAAGAATACTTTAGAGTAAAAAATCGATCATTATAAGGTATAAGTATCAAATTTCTCTTGAGGTTAGCACAACTACTCCTATATGAGATCTCACTTTAAGTTCTATGACTTATCTTAAGAGATATGGTGCATGTTTCAAACAATGACTTATGCTATTGTAGTACTTAAGAACATACTCTATGGCCCAAAATTCTTATTTTAAAAAGTGCAAAAAGGATAGTTAATGAAAGATATAATAAGCACAAGAGTTTCAACTGAACTTGAGGAGATAAAAAATCCATAGTAGTTGATAATAATAAAATTTGAAAAATAAAAATTTAGATTCATGGTTTCATAAGATACATTATATAACAAGAACCACCATGATTAATGATAAGGTTTCAAAATAATTTTATATTTAAAATATATAAAGGTGCCATGCAAAGGAAATTTTGAGAATGGATATATATATATATATATATATATATATATATATATATATATATATATATATATATATATATATATATATATATATACTAGATATGTGCCCGCGCGTTGCACGATGACCATGAATTTTGTTCACATCTACGGTAGGGATTTGATCATTTTGCAAAAACAATAAAAACTATTAAATGATTTTGTATTGGCAACTTAAACTATTTCCAAATGCATTTACGTTTTTTTCATTGTATTCAAAATAATTCTTGCATATGTCAATTCTTTTGTTGTAGATTGAGTATGGCCCTGATATCAAGCCTCTTTCGTTCCGCACACGTAGAATTTATATTTCTAACTTTGAAATTGATAATTTTTAAGCTTTTAAAACTGACTTTGAAGCAGACTGTCCATATATATAGTTTATATACATGCCCTTAGACTTTTCAGGATGTTTACTTCACGCGCAATGACACCTTACACTCGAGAACCGAGCATAGCTCAGGTGGCAAGGCCCGGCTGTTGGGACCTTGTTGGTCGGAGTTCGAGCCCCCGTGGCTGCGTATTTTCGGTCTCTCACCTCGAAGATTTATTCCCCGTTAATAATTTCAGTTGCCTCACGCAGATATGCCACAATGGTCAGTGTGACGTGCCCGCCACGCTCGGAGTCTGCTGATCTTCGAGTATCTCTCAGCTGCGTTCGTTGTCTAGGTATAGTTGTAGGTTTGTTCGTATACCGGGTGTGTGTGAGATGTGCGTGTGTGCGGTGGTGTGTGTCTGTATCCGAACAAATACTACAGTTGTACTTAGATGAGAGGCAAAAAAAAATGACACCTTACACTCTCTGGTTGAAAGGAACCTAACAAACTTTGAATTCTAATTTCTGGATTTGATTTTGATGTTATACAGATTTTATAAGTTTCGGTCAATTTGTGCATCGTTCGGGAAAAGACAAGAAGCTAACAGTACACTTTTTATTGGGACTTGATCCTAAAAAGGCAAAATTTTAGCCTTTTTCGTCTGGATTTAATTTCGTCTGTCCTATCTATATCTGTTTCGCATACCTCTATCACCGGCTAAACTAATTGTCTCTCCGTGTTTTGTCCGTTCTTCATCTTCTCTTCTCTTTCGGGCATCAGTCTGTGCCTAGGAAGGCAGTAAAAAAGACAACAGAACTATATATATGCTCCAATCCGGCCGTCTACTGAAAGAAGTTTGAATCAGATCCGGAAAACAACAAAATTTCATCTAATCCGTCTACCGAAGGAAGTTTGAATCAGATCCGGAAAACAAAAAACCAAAAATCACACGATTAACCTGGACTCCTGGAGGCACGCACACGATATTTGGTTGGACGAAAGCTGTCCACGTTTTTTAAGTAGCAACGGAAACAAAGAGAAAAATATAAATTTTAATATAAGTAATTCTTTAATAGTTAAATGTACTCCCTTCATTACAAATTATAAGTGTCTTCTCCATTCATTACAAATTATAAGCGTCTTGAGTTTTCTAAATACATAACTTTTATTATGTACTTAAATGTATTGTTGAGATACATAGTAAAAATTATATATTAAAAAAACTAAAACATCTTATAATTTAGAACGAAGTGATTATTAAATAATACCTAATACTTATATCACCTAAAATTCTGACCCGTGTGAGAGCACGGGTTGATGGACTAGTGTTTTTTATAATGACTTTATGTCTTAAGTCCTGTGCTCACTTTGATTTTTGATCTAACAAAGGTCTTGTGCTCACAGCTCTCGCAAAGCACGCTTCGTTCGAGGTTCTTGTTCCTAAGTTTGCCCTTTTCTGTTCTTCCTCAGTTTTGCCTTGGAGAAGTGGAATTTAACGGAACTGATACAGAAGCAACGAAAGGCTTAGCCAATTGAGCTGCCTGCTTTCTTGTCACGCTCCGGCGCTCCGCCACAGTCCGGCGAGTCAGTCATCGAGTGGCAACGTGGCTATTTTCGCTTGAGCTTATCAGCTAATCAGCTCTACTTTTCAGTTATAAAATTATATTTTTCTCTTATAATAAATTAGTCGTACAAATCTAGCCGCACGGTAAATCCTGCCGAACAGGTCGTGGAGAGGACAAGAATACATAGAAACACAGCAAGAGACAAGACAAAGTCACATGGTCACCTGTAGGTATCCAATCTGTGAGTGCCAACGGAAAAGAAACAGTACCCAAGAACAGCATCTTGTACCAAACACTTCACAGTGTCAGTAGGTGGTCTACCAGCTTGTCGACGTTCGTGCAGGACGACCCATCCTTGGCCATGCACTCCGCCACGCTGCTCCTGAGCTCCTGCGCCCTCCGCCGCAGCCCGGCGCCGGGCTCTCCTGGCCCCATCAGCGCGGCCACGGCCACCTCCACCTTGCCCCTCACGAGCTCCCCGTCGAGCGTGAGGCCGGTCCGCCACACGTGCTCAACGTACCTCGCGTTCCCCATCTGGTCGCCGAAGCACGGGCGGGCCATGATCGGCACGCCCGCGCACACGCTCTCCAGCGTCGAGTTCCAGCCGCAGTGCGTCCAGAACATGCCCACGGCCGGGTGCGCCAGGACCTCCTCCTGCGGCGCCCAGCTCACCACCACGCCCCGCCAGCGCGTCGCGTCGTCGAAGCCGTCGGGCAGGGGTGGCGCCTCTGCCTCGGACGGCGACGTGCCACGGACGAGCCCCGGCCGGAGCACCCACAGGAAGGGGTGGCCGCTGTTGGCTATGCCCCAGGCGGTTTCCACCAGCTCGGCGGCAGACATGCTGGCGAGGCTGCCGAAGCTGACGTAGAGCACGGACGCCGGGGCTTGCGCGTCGAGCCACTCAAGGTAGCCACGGTCTTGCAAGAGCAGGCTGCTCGAGGCCGCTGGAGAGAGCTTGTGGAGCGGGCCGATGTCGAACACGGGCACGCCGAGGTCTCGCCGGAGCGACGCGAGCTCGCCGGACTCGAGCGCATCCATGGTGTTGAGGATGAGGCCCGAGGAGGTCGTCACAGCCGTCACTATATGGGAAATCACCTCGCTTATTACGCCGTGATAGGCGCTGGTGGTGGACGGAAAGTCCCGGATGCGGTACGGCGGCAGCTCCCTCACCGGCGCCTCCAGCTGCGACTCTACAGCGGACTGAATCATGGAACACTCAGGAGCATGCATGAGGTGGGTTCTAGTGTCGTGCACTTGCGTTCGTCATGGATGAGAGCGTGCGCGTACTTACCTTGCGCAGGCTGGTACCCCTTGTCGCAGAGCATGGGGAACGCCGCGAACATGCGGAGGCACGCAGAGCTGCCGGTGCGCAGCACCAGCGTGGGCACGCCGAGCCCCCGCGCCACGTCCAGCAGCGTCAGCAGGTGGGCGTCAGCGACCAGGCACGCGACGTCGTCCCGTGCTGCCTGATCCTCCGACAGCAGGGCGGCCAGGCGCTCCCGGAACAGAGCCTCGCAGGCGCGGTTCACGGCGAGGATGTGCTCGACGGTCACCTGGAAGACATCTGAGCTGCCCTCCGGCAAGCAGTCGGAGACGGGCACGGGGACGAAGTCGTAGGCAGGGTGGCGGGACTTGTCGGGAGCGTTGAAGTGGGTGTGGAAGACGGTGACGGCGAACCCACGCGCGTGGAGCAGGCCGGCGAGCTGGAACATGGGGTTGATGTGGCCCTGGTACGGGAGCGGGAAGAACAGCACGCGGCGGCGCCGGCCGCCGGTGGCTGTGTGTCCTCCTATGGAATCCATTGGCGGTCCTCGTGGAGTGGAGTCTTGGATGTGAGGTTGCTGCCCACTTGCCAGTTGCCACCATGCTCTATTCCTTAAAGTTAGGTAGGTTAGTCTCCGGCGGACATGGATTTAACTTTTAGCTTCCAACATAAGAGCAAGTATTATAAGGTGATGTAAGCAAGCTGCAAGAGCTGCCACGTCACTTCTATGCTGAGTTGGAGAATAGAGAAGAGAAGAGAAGAGATAAGAGAAGCGGGTTGTTAGCCTACAGCTAGCTGATGTACATGTTACAAGGAACTCTGTGAGAGAAAGAGGGTGAGCCTGACATTAGTTGGCTGAATATGACGTGTCAAAATCATACAGTCCTCTGTATTATTAGCCATGCTCTAAGCTCATTTGGATCCTTACCCTGCCCTTGCTTTGAATGCCTTTTGATTCGTCGTCTCATATTCCACTTTCACCTGTACACATGGATTTAGTTTGCCTTCTTCCATTGTCTTCCTTCGATCCCGTCCTTACTAGACTAAAGGGTACGTGGACTTTACTTTGCCTTCCTTCGGTACTTTGACTATGTGTATTATCAGTAAAAAGTTATCTAAAAAAAATAAAACATCTTATAATTTAGAATGCAGAGAGTATATCATATTAGGGTGAACAATTTGATCCTTCATGATATATTCGGCCCATCTTATAGAGTACCTTAAAATTTACAAAGTGTCTACCGAGAAAGTAGATAATTTTCAGATTAAAACCAGAATATAATTTATGACAATCTCATATGCTAGTATGTGAAGCCTAACATACTAGTTAGATTGGACAACATGAACAATGACAAAACAAACATCATCACGATTAAAACAGTAGGCATACTGAAATATAACAGATTGGATCACGGGATATGTACCTTTCGTTTGCAGAGGGAGACAGTGTTGCTGGTGATGGAGATGCTGTTGCAGGTGGTGGTGAGAAGTCGTCAATGATCAGTGGAGAAAGAGCTCAGAGCAGCTGACAACGAATACACTAGGACGAGCACCGCCTGACTTATTCGTCCTCTCCTGGCGCAGGATGCAAGGATGACGAGCGTTCTGAAGACCTGCTCTCCCGGCCGTGCTGGTGCACGCAGGCGCCTGGGATGGAGAAGCTACAGTGATGGTGGTGCAGCATGAAGAGGCAAAAACCCTGGCATGATTAGATGCGTTTTGACATGGCCGATAGGTTATTTATATAGGCCTGTCCAATATGATCTCATATCATAATCATGATCTAAACCGTGTAGGACTCCTACCTACAAACTTAAGGCCAAGTAACTAGAAACTAAAACTGTGTAGCACCCAGTTTTAAAAATAAAACCAAATACGCACCATATGTGAGCCAGGAAGTCAAATCTCACATATAGCTACAAATAAGGATAATATCGAAAGACAATGCTCAATATATAATGTACTTGATGATGAGGACATCACTCCGTCACATACAAGCCAAGAAGAGGAGGAGGTTCAGCATGGGTGTCCAATTCATCTTTCTCATGGCGGAGGCCCAGTCCAAGTCCAACTCAAGTTCGAGCCTGTCTCGGGTTCTAGGACCAGTCTACCTTAAACTGGTCACCCAGGACGCATCCAGACTCCGTTTTCGATGATCCACATATGGATGGAAAGCTAATTTGATAAGAAAGCCAATCCAAATGGTCTCACGTCAAAACCTCTTTGGAATCAACAGGAATCATCGAAACAAGTCAGCGTCCAGAATCTGTCAGGGTGCTGCGACACCATATTTTGATCCGTTCGACCGTGCATCGTGTTTGGGCCCATTAGGGGCGCGTCCAGGAGGGGTGATGCCCAAGACTTTATAATTAGCAACCGTCGCTCTCCTTAGGGTTTGGGTTTTGTTTAGTTCTTGATTTCCTCCGCCAAGGCCGCTTGCTGTGAACCAGGGCCCCAGTTCTTGATCTTATTCGCCTGTGGTGATTAGTCCTTTCGAATAAAAACTTGAACTCCTTCTCGTTTTCATAAGCCTCATATTTACTTGCAATTTTAGATTACGTTCATCCCGTTCTTGCTTGTGTTCTCGATTCGCTTGCAGGAAAGCCTTCTCGGCGAGGTCAATCGTGTTCGCGTGGTTGATAACCAACAGAGCAGTGGTGTAACGGTTGCGGGGGTCCGAATCAGTCTTGGTTCAAAGCCTAGATCGTGAACGTCGAGTCTCCATCAATCGACGCTATTATACCTTTTGGAAGATCGGGCCTAGTCTACATCACTTAGTATAAAGGATATAACCTTAAACAGTGAAAAGACAACTCCAATCTTCGGATGAAGACTCCAATCTACAGGGACAACTGACTGGTTTATCACAAGCCTAATTCCTTCAAACTCTAGCAATCTGGTACCCATCCGAGATTTTAATCCAAATATCTGAAAAGGAAAGCAAGCGTAAGTACATGTTGTACTCAACAAATATAACATGGGGTTCATGAGGCTCAAAAGGTTGATACTGGTTTAATTGCGATTAGCTTTTAGTGAGTCATCTTTTAGTAATTGGGTGGCAGCAAGTTTATTCACAAGCCCATATAAACACATGATCAGGTAAACATGAATAATGAATAGCATAAACAATTAACCATTAATGAGCATCTTTATCATCAGTATCATCAGTGTTCATCATCTATTCCGTAAGGGTTCAAGGCCGCTCGTGATCGTAAGCACGACTATTATAACAGTTTTACACTCTACAGAGGTTGTACACTTTCACTGTGAGTCATGATTTACCCTTTCGCCCGAGGTGATCAGCCTCTTGACCCACTACCAAGGAAGGTCGGCAGGGTTTACTATGAAGTCTTTCAAAGGTTCGTCTAACAAGTTTGGGCCGCTAGGTTTCCAATTGCCAAGCAGATATAGGAACCCCCTTTCGAATGGCACAATTTCTTCACTGCTATACACATAAGAGTAGTGGCTGTCCTTTACCCGACTCGGCAAGCCCCTTTTACGCCATGAAGGTAACCACTAATAAGCTAGAAAATGTCCTCCTACTTGACTAAAGCCAGAGCCATGTGGCCCCCACAGTTATACTGTAAGTCCCGGATGATTACTTACAGATAAGTCCTTAGGGAGAGAAATTTAGAGCACCATAAAATAGCCCAATGCTCTAGCCCTCTTGTTCTATGTTGCTAAAAAGCATCTTTTAGTGTTTATTGCATATATCATTAGTCAACTTATAAGATCATGGTCTTTAATTGAGCACTAGCATCATACTACCCAATGCAATACCCCATAGGTATAAATGTACAAGGTAACAAAGTATTAGGGAACCTTTAGTGGTAATCAAGGTAGACACATGCAGTATAATAAGTGATTAATGGTGAATAGGTAATAAGGATAATCCCACGCTATACGTGCCTTAAACTCTGATCCTTCTTCTAGTCCAAAGCTTCAAAGGAACTCCTTGATCAACACGTAAAGCTCACCGACTGGACAGGATCATAAAGCACCACACAAGCATCCATGCAACCATACATGAAGCAAACAATAGAATTAAATTAGAATAGTACACCAAACATAATAAACAGTAAGTAAAAAGGTTTCAAAGATGTTCTAAATGTTACTACGATCACACAGGCGCGAAAAGCACTCAAATCGGAGCTATAACGAAGAAGTTATGAATTAAACAAGATTTCCTTTAATAAAATAATAGATTAAATCTAACCTTGAATTTCAAAAGTTGAAAATATATTTAACTGTAGGACGAACATGTAGATTACTCAATTACGAATCTAACGTAACTTGAACGGATCAAATAAGAGTTAAAACGAAGAAGTTATGGCCTAAAGAAAATAGTGGCAAAACAATAAATAGATGAAAGCGTATTTTGAATCTAACAGAGGTAATCTACGCTTTACAGGAAAAATAAAATGTATTCTGGAAGTACGCCTTCGACTATAGGTTCTATTTGGCAAAACTGCTAGGGCTCTTATGCAAAAACGTCATGACAAAGGGGTATCGGGCGATCTCGGCCGCTAGATCTGAGATGAATGGCGGAGATTAGATAGGAGGGAGTGAGTAAGGGGGTGGCCGGTCGGAACAGAGATAGGAGGCGGTGGCGCCATGGCCGACGACGAGCACTTCGCCGGAACTCGTCGAATCGGCGACTCGGGCCATCATTGGTCACGGAAAAAGCATGGGGAGCAAGACGAGACGATGGCGAACCCAACTAGGCAACTTGGCGCGAAGCGAAGGGAGGCGGTGCGTGGCTCGGTGGGGCGGACGGCGGACGACGGCGCTTAGGGTTCGTGGCGGCGCGGCGATTCGGTGGATGCGGCTTGCTCTAGAGCTTGGTAGGGACACGGCACGGTGCGGCGCTGCTATTTAAGAGGCGGGGAGGCTTGGGGCGCATGGCAACGGGCGGTGTCGTGGTGGCAGCGGACTCTCACGGTGGCAAGGTAGAAGACGGAGAGGACGCTGACAGGCAGGTCCCACAAGTCAGCAACAGGAGAGGCGCGGGAGAGAGGGGAAGCGGCGCGGGCGATGCGGTTGTGCGGGCATGGCTGGGCCGGGCGGTGAAGCTGAGCCACGCGGGGTAGGGAGACGGAGCAGGCCACGGGGAAGATGGGAGCGGGCCGAGAGCGGAGGTGCGGGGGAGGGGAAAAAGACCGGTGGGGAAAGAGAGCAGATGGGCCGGCCTGCTGGGCTGCCTGTGGCCACGGGCCAGAAGAGAGAGGGAGAATTTTTTCTTTTATTCCAAAGCATTTTTTCAAATGAAATTTTGAATTCCTTTTGAATTTTGAATCAAACCACTCAGCACAAAAACTCCAATGCAGCAGCATGTATGCACAAACATGTTGCTATCTTATGATAACTTTTAATTTAAAGAAAAAATTTATTTTCCTATATTTCATGGCACAAAATGCAAATTCAAATCATTTTTCATCTATTTTAAAAAGGAGTAAATTTTAGGGTGTTACAAACTGCAAAAAGAGATCGGGCCCCCACAAGGCGAGGAGCCGGATTTCAGCGAACCATTCATGTAGG